CCATTCTGGATTGCCGCTCGTACTGGAGTACCTGTGTCGACTCTGACCATGCCTTGGTGCGCTGTCGTTTCTCCATGAACTTTACCGGAAGGCGCACACAGCGTCTCTCCCGATTGGCAACGGAGAAATTGTCCCAGCCCTCTGTCAGGCAAGCCTATCAAGAAGCACTGCATAGCGAACTCTCGCTGTCTTATCCTAATGATACTGAACTTCAGTGGAATAAGATCTCGGCCACTATGCACGACGCAGGCGCATCTGCTTGTGGCACTATCAGTCGTCATCGCACCAGTCACTGGATATCCGAGAGGTCCGTGAACCTTTTGGAAGCTAGAAGGCACCTCCCGGCTGGTTCTGAACACAATGTGACCAGACGGGCTATTAGGCGTGAACTAAAGCGGAGCCTACGTGCTGACAAGAAAGCCTGGTGGACCAGTCGGGCTCAAGAAATGGAGGAGGCAGGAGCAGTAGGCAATTACCGGAAGCTCTTCCAGCTAATACGCACCACTGGTCCGAGAAAACCAGGTGTCAGTGAGACAATCAGGGACAGCGCGGGTGCGCTGATACACAATAAGCAGCGCCGTATGGCTCGTTGGGCTGAACACTTTGAACATCAGTTCAGCTGGCCCCCTGCTCCCGGACCTCTTCCTACTCAGGTGATGCAGGACGAGCCATGGACGGTTAGTTTAGAGCCTCCGTCGGAGGCCGAAGTCCGAAACGCGATCACAGCCCTTAATCGTTTTCGTGCCGCTGGCCCGGATTCCCTACCACCTGCACTATTTAAGGATGGTGGTGAGGTCCTCTGCAAAGCACTGACCTCCCTATTCGAACGTATCTGGAACGAAGAGAGTGTGCCGGCTAATTGGAGCGAATCGATTATAGTGGCAATATACAAGAAGGGCAGTCGCACAGATTGTGCGAACCACAGGGGTATTAGCCTAACGCCAGTTGTGACAAAATTACTGGCCTCGATTATCGTTCGTCGCCTCACTGCAGAACGGGAATCTCGGATTAGAGAAGAGCAGGCCGGTTTTCGCCCAGGACGTGGCTGTATAGACCATATATTTACTTTGCGACAGGTGCTAGAGCAGCGCCACGCATACCGCAGACCGACAATAGCTGTGTTCCTCGATTTCAAGAGTGCGTTCGATTCAGTCGATCGATCGATTCTGTTCGAAATACTTGCGCGGAAAGGTGTTCCCACGAAATATGTGAACATCCTTCGTGCTCTATACTCGAACACTAGAGGCCGCGTCAGGGTCTATGGTGCCCTATCGGATAGCTTTTCGACTACAAGTGGCGTTCGACAGGGTTGTCCGATTTCCCCGTTTTTGTTCAATTTCGTCGTGGATTCTATCATGGAGTGTTCCCTTGCGGAATCTCACGATGTAGGTGTTGAAGTGCTGCCTGGTGAACGGTTAGTTGATCTAGATTATGCGGACGATATCGTCTTGCTTTTCGACAATGTCGAGGTGGCACAATCAACCCTGAATAGGCTATCCAGAGTGGTCCCATTATTTGGTATGCACTTTGCGCCTTCAAAGTGCAAAGTGTTGCTGCAGGACCACCAGCCACTCGATGACCCCTTGACGCTTGCTATCGAGGAACTCGATGTGGTTGATCAATTCACTTATCTTGGCAGCTGCATCAGCAATGATGGGCGCATAGAAACTGACGTTAGCTCACGCATTGCAAAGGCCAGAGCTGCCTTCTTGAACCTGCGTCATCTTTGGCGACAGAAGGGAGTTTCCCTCCGTCTGAAAGGCCGTGTATACAAGGCCACAGTGAGGGCCGTTCTGCTCTATGTTAGTGAAACTTTGCCCCTTCGGTCTGAAGATCTGAGGCGCCTTCAAGTCTTTGATCATCGTTGTTTGCGAAGCATTGCTGGTGTCGGATGGCACCAGCGTGTCCGCAACGATGATGTGCGTAGGCGAGTACTAGGTGGTGATGATCATGCTAGCTCCCTAGAACAACAGATAGCACTGAATAAGTTACGTTGGCTCGGGCACGTGCTACGCATGCCTGGTCACCGCTTACCCAGGAGGGCCTTGTTTAGTCTACCAGGTGTCGGATGGCGCAAGGCTCGAGGTGGACAGAAGTTGACTTGGCAGCGGGAAATGAAGTCACTGACGACCAAACTGGGTGCCGTTGGTCCGTCTCGCCTTCCGGGCTGGAGTCCACGTGACTCACCTTGTGCTTGGCTCGAGACTTTACAGGACATGGCTCGCAGTAGACACAAGTGGCGCGTCTGCTGCCGTCTCCTAATCGGATTGTCTGTTTAAAGTGTGTTTGGTGCTGAGTTATCTGCGGGGTAATGGCTGATTATGACGCGTGGCAGTGAAAGCCGCAAGGAAGCTGTCTCGCCGATGCCGCCTTATCTTTGCACGATAGCCAGCTGTTTGTGACGGTATGTTGTTAACACAAGGTGTAGGCGCCTTGACCCTGAATGTTTGCTTAGGGCATTAAGGTTTTCAGGTAAGTCCCCTTTCTCTCCCTCTTATTCTTTATTTCATAGGTCCTCATGGTAGTATGGCAGCGAAGCATCAGTTCAAATGGCTGATGTACTGCTGTTGATGATGATGATGGTGTTTATTTAAACATTGTTGTCCACGTTATTTCAGCCTAACAACCGAAATGTTTCGTAGGCCATCCAGATGAACATGTCGCACCTGTTTGTATTTTGTACCCCGTGTAAGTATCTTTGGACGACAATATCAAGGTTTTGCCGCTTGCAGATTGCGAGCCAGTGTACTGATGACATTTTAGTGGGCTTGACGGCAAATACCTCTTTTTTAACCGGTGTAAGCTAGAGACTACGATGCATTTTGCGCCACCACAGGACATCTGTGAAGGCATCTGGTATGCAACCAGGGCAATTGTTGGGACTAAAATTTTTACTGGCTATTTTTTTGAAAGCGTGCTCCTAAGAACGTGGACAGAGTGGTCTGAAATGTTTGCATCTGTACTGCAATGGTAATTGCGGTTAAGAAGTGTTGCCTTGAGCTTGCTTTATACTGCATCACTTCGAAAGAAAACCATCACAACCGTCCGTTTAACCTCACTTTGTGGTTGTGAAACTTGACTCATCAGATTGACAGGCATAAATAGACTAGTTGCATTCGACCGCCATTTCTTCGGGAGGTTATATCTGGTCGGAATAACACATGGCTAGTGAGCGAGTTTGACATCCGTTTATGTCGCAAGGAGAGGGGTGAACTGTTCGGCACCGCAGTTTCTTGCACTAAGTTCTGATTGTTGGGCACATGTTTCGCCTGTTAGCTAACTGACTGTTACGATGTACATTGTTTGCACCATGTGGATCTAGAAGACGAGAGGGCTCCAGAGACGTTGACTTGAAGGCACTTTTTGAAGTGATTTTGGGCCGACCCCAGTGGCCTTCATGTTGTGAGATTTTTGTCCCTCCTCCTCCCCATCAGCCTGTCCCTCCAACCACGATCTCACTGTTGATGCCTAACAAAGAAACAGTGCATGAAATCAGTTTTGTTTCTGTCTTTCTTTTGTGCTCATCTAATTCTATTGTGTTGGGGGCACAGTAGCTGAGATGTTCCTTACCTGTGGTTTACGTGTGTAGGAATCATATACTGGGCTGTCATCATTCTAATTCATTTCTCGGTGAATATATGCTCATTCATCACGAATGCACTCGGGAATTGTTGTTTTATGTCTCCGGGGCCGTCGGACGGATTTTGGCCACTCCAAGAAATTTTCTGATGTAGCGGTAACCACTGCTATGGTCACATTTCTGCTGGCTGTAAATGCTGTCATCGCTCAGTGCAAATGGAATCCTAATGCATCATAATGCAGTGCGTAGTATTCGATGCTGCGCTGGAAGTTTTCAAGTGACGGATTTGTGCCCGAACTTTGCCTCACCAATATGGATATATCACACAAATCACGCACTCAGCGGCTGTATATCGGCTCCTTGCAATGATTGGGTGTGCGCTGTTATTGGGAGAAAGCACCTTGCAGGTTGTCGCTAGTTGGATTAGTAATGCGTTGTACTTTGTTAAGTTTAGACACATTGCGTTGTCACATTTCAAATTTCTCCAGTGACTGTGGACGCGTCGATATTGTAAGGCTGGCCTTCCACTGGTGTTGGTATAGTAGAATCATTACTCTTTTTCTTTTAATTTAAGGGTCTGGTTCTTTGAATGCTGAGAGTAGTCACTGTGTTCAGGTACATGACCGTTGTATAGCACGCTTTATTTTTTCTCGCCCTGGTTGAATGAATCCAAATCAACAGATTAGCTGTCTCGTACAAGCTTCTAAGTTGCACACAGACAAACAGTGCCCGTTTGTCATTGCGGCGTACGCCTCCTTAAACTATATTGCTGACTCGGTGAAAGATTAATTCTATCGCCATGTGAACGAGCTCCTTCGTTGCGGGGAAATGTCCAGATACTGCGGTGATGGCTGGCGATCTGATCGCTCAAATGGGAAAGCTGCTCACTGATAAGCTGCATTTGGGCAGCCAACACAGTGTAGGCCCCCGTACTAATAACCATGAGCTGGTGCTACATCTGTGTGCAGATGTCCGTCTATTTCTCCCGAACACCAATTTCCGGCACAGCACCCGCCTTAGGAAGACATGGCACACACCATCCTCGAACTAGCTATGGACGCAAATCGATTACCCTGCGATAAGTTTCCGCTGGAGAGACTAAGTCTAAAACTGTCTTTGGAGTTGGAACACAATCGCGGACTCTGTCCACGCACTCTTTTTGGTGGGCGCATGCGGCCATGCTGTGAGCGCGTAGATACTTGCTAGCATACAAATGCAGATGTTCTAACTGCGTATCAAAGTACGCTGGGCCTTCATGTCATGTGGAGGACGAGGCCGGTTTTCTGATATATCCCTATCTAATCCACCCACCATCAAACATCATTGTAAGCTAAGTTAAGCAATTGTCTCTTTTCAGGGATAGTATGAATGTGTCGATTTGATTCAATATCATGGAGCTTATAGTCGCTTTCTTTATCTTAGCTTCTACGTCATTCCGTTGGAAGAAGATGGTTGCGCACTCCTGCTCCATACGACGATGCTGCTGTCTGTCCAATGCTTTCTCGAATGTGCGACAACTCTAACTCTGTCACTGTAACTGATCTGCTTTGATATCCGTGCGACTCTTGTTTCCTTTCATCCTCTGTGGACATCGAAGTATTACTTGTCTTGGATTCGTCACTGGTTTACAAGGCCCTGGTTGGACGAGAGACGATTATCCCCGGATGTTTCATCTGACCAAAGCAATCCTATTGTCCCTTATTACTTTATGCGCACCTATGTGCTGTAGCATCCATCTGCAAATATGAAGTTGGTTTGTCAACGAGAGAACAGCCACTTTCCTGACTTAAGTATTCTTATTGTTTTCGTCCACAAATTTGATTACCATTTCTTAGCAAAATGCCTGCTACGCAGCCTGAAAGCTAGCTGCGCAGAGCATGCGACGTTCATGCCTATCATCTTGGCTGACTATGACATTGACTCACTGTGTGCTCTTTTCTCTTCGGTGCAACAAGATCAGTTAGTGGCCATTTCTTTTTTTGCCACTGATACACTTTTAGGAAGCTTTTGTATCACTCCGATGATCGCACGCCAGTCGCACATCAGAAGGTAGTTTACTGTAGTTTTCCAAACACCACTAATACTCATTAGGTTTACTACGTAATTTTTCGTCGATTAAAACTGTTTTCTGGCCACATTTTTGGTAGCTGCCGCAATCGGAACATCTTTTTTCGTCATATCCTTTTCGCGCCATCTGTTTTGTTCGTCTTCGTTACTCGTTGCATACTATCATGACCGACCCAATCATGCGTTCGTTTCTGTCATTCGATTGTTACCAGCTACACATTTGCGGGAGATGCCAGTTTCCTGTTTTCACGCCGTACTGTTCATCCACCGGATGCCCATGCTGTCGATGGTAACAAATTATACGACTTGTTCTTCCAACCGTCTTCATCTGCACTCACTGTATATCCGCTTATCCTTCTGACATGCAACCATCTTAAATTATCCCTCTTACGTTAATCGGGACAAAGCTACTGCGGATAGCATAAGCTATATCGGCAAAGAAATTGACACTATTCTACATTGGGTTCGTCAATGTCAGCGTTCTGCATCAGGTCGGCCGATAGTCAGCACACAGCACGACTTTCCACTCACTTAGAGTTGATATGTGCTGTCTTCGGAAGGTACACAGGACTGTAGCGTCCTACTCCATCTGTCCTCACCAGACGGCTCCTAGTGACGGTTTTTGTGCATCTCGCTTCTCATGGTTCTAAATTCTTGGCTCCCAGTATTTTCGGTATCGGAACCTCTTAGTGAACATGCGGAAGCTTCCTGTCTCGTTTGAATTCTACGAACAGCCACGTGAGTACTTTATTTTCGGGTCCGCATCAGAGCTTTGGTTGAAAGCAGTGTACACCTTGGATGTTGAACTTCCGTCCCAATTGTTGCTCAGTAACTGTCAACTGTAACTGATCAACAGCTTTTCTCCCCCATTCGAATGGCCAAAAGCACGAACATTATTACCGTTGTTGGTGGCATGCATGCTTATGTTGGTTACTTGTCAGATTCAGATCGTCGACTCGTAGACCGTTTCGAGATCTATGGTTGTATTAATTACGGTGGTTGCCCCATTCATGATGCTTCTTCACCGCAGTTGGGCTAAACCAACCTACACTTAAACTAGGTCCTTTTAGGCTGGATTAATATCATTTCACTTTAATTAGCTCTTTCTGCGTACCTGAATAGTCTATTTACTTGCACACGTTGCTTACGCTAATTGCGCTTATCTTCGTTAACTTTAGTGTGTTTGTAGCATTTTTCGATTAACTTGTGAACATTTTGTACTTGTCGCCTATTCGTTGCTAACCAACTGACTTCATATGCTAATTTGGCGAAAAGTTATGTCTGCATAGCCGTATGCTTTAGCAGATATCTTTTATTTGCTCTTGTTATTTCAAGTGATTAGCTGTTGCTTGACATCCCCGGTGAGGCTGCGCTTGATGTGCATGTTGACAAGGTGCCTACCTGTCTATTACCCACTACTTCGTCCATACTGGCTCCAGGAGACAGTTGCTCGTTGCTGGAGGGGACAGGGTGCACGGTCCTTGTGGCCGTGCTAGGCTCAAAGAGCGGTTCCATGCACTCAGTGTGGAGCGGACTACGGTCCAGCCACCGCCTTGTGTGCGATTGATTCCCCAAATACAGTGTGCTTGTGTTTGCCTGTGAAGGAGTGTGGGCCGGCTCCGTTGATGAAACGTGGCTCCCATCCACATGCTTCCCGGTCTTATTCCTTCGGGTTTACACTGGATATGGGGTATGTGGTTGGAGCTGTGGGTGGTGCAGCGCAAGCCACCCATGGTCCCTCTGTAGGCGCAGGCGTCCTGTGTCTGGCCACAGTGACAGGCAAATCCGAAACCGGATGCCGCCAACCATATATTTCCTTCATGTATTGCGGCACAATAGCGGAGGTGTTTCCCCACCTCTAGCTGATGTGTAAAATGATGATGAATGATCCAATCGTATAATTAACCTGTCCATTTTTATTTCCACACGGGTTTCACTACAACTGACGCGTTCCTTTCCTTAATGGACCAAAATACATGTAAAACATTTTATCGGAATGCGATTCGGTTCGACATTGGGCATTGATATGGTGTGCCAAGACATGGAGGTGGGTTTGTCTTTGTGTATTGACCCCAGCCTTTTGTACTTGATTATGTGATTGTTACTTGACGCGAATCGAATACCGCTACTTGGTATTCCATAAATCTGTCAGACATATTCAGGTTACCTTAACACTTGTACGATACTCACTACCAATGATTTGCTGGGAGAACAGCGTAGCACCTGTGTCCTCTTCCCCTGGATGGAACAGCGATTGCCAAACGCCGAACATTCGATGCTTAACATGTTTCCATGCTCGAGCTGCCTCCTTGCATATAACACATAACTGCAATCACCTGTTTGTCTAGCGCGCACGGCACAGAGTCATTATTCCACTATTCTCGATATCTTCACTTTCTTGTCTCCAACCGTACTGTAACTGCGGGACCTTGGACGGTTATCCCAGCTATAGCGCAACAGATGGAAGAGTTACTGTTGACGGTTACTCGTCTTTACACGCTCTTTAATCACTCCAAGTGAATCAATAAAGTTCCATCTTGGCTAGTGTGCGCATAATCAAGCATGGCACACTCTCCTACTTTCACTAACTACACGAACGTTGGTTCTCCTTATTCTTGGCAAATGTACCATCTTCGAAGATAGCGAACAACCATTAGATATTCGATTCAGCAGAATTTCTGGCATCACATTTTCGGTCGCTGAAAAATGCTGGTCTTCTCAGCCTGATCTACATCCGTACTCTGTTGTCTTTATTTATTGACCTAGTTGGCAGAACTGCGATTTCGGACTACCCGTTCCACTGTCGTATTGATGTGAAAAGGAATGGTCCATACCAAATTGCCTAACTTTTGTTTAAACCGTGTTGGCCCTTTAATCGCTATTCGATTGTGTTCTCTTTAGGCGAACACTTTCCTCAATTACTTCATGTACATCATTTCGAAAATGACAGAAATCAGCAGTGCACCGATACGATGTCCTATCGGATAGCTTTCGACCACAAGTGACGTTCGTCAGGGTTGTCCGATTTCCCCGTTTTTGATCAATTTCGTCGTGGATTCTATCATGCAGTGTTCCCTTGCGGAATCTCACGATGTAGGCGTTGAATTGCTGCCTGGTGAAAGGTTAGTTGATCTAGATTATGCGGACGATATCGTCTTGCTTTTCGACGATGTTGGGGCGGCACAATCAACCCTGAATAGGCTATCCAGAGTGGTCCCATTATTTGGTATGCACTTTGCGCCTTCAAAGTGCAAAGTGTTGCTGCAGGACCACCAGCCACTTGATGACCCCTTGACGCTTGCTAACGAGGAACTCGAGGTGGTTGATCATTTCACTTATCTTGGCGGCTGCGTCAGCAATGATGGGCGCATAGAAACTGACGTCAGCTCACGCATTACAAAAGCCAGAGCTACCTTCTTGAACCTGCGTCATCTTTGGCGACAGAAGGGAGTTTCTCTTCGTCTGAAAGGCGGGGTATACAAGGCCACAGTGAGGGCCGTTCTGCTGTACGGTAGTGAGACTTGGCCCCTTCGGTCTGAAGAGCTGAGGCGCCTTCAAGTCTTTGACCATCGTTGTCTGCGAAACATTGCTTGTGTCGGATGGCACCAGCGTGTCCGCAACGATGATGTGCGAAGGCGAGTACTAGGTGGTGATAATCATGCTAGCTCCCTAGAACAACAGATAGCGCTGAATAAGTTGCATTGGCTCGGGCACATGCTACATATGCCTGGTCACCGCTTACCTAGGAGGGCCTTGTTCAGTCTACCAGGTGTCGGATGGCGCAAGGCTCGAGGTGGACAGAAGTTGACTTGGCAGCGGGAAATGAAGTCACTGACGACCAACCTGGGTGCCGTTGGTCCGTCTCGCCTTCCGGGCTGGAGTCCACGTGACTCGCCTTGTGCTTGGCTCGAGACTTTACAGGACATGGCTCGCAGTAGACACCAGTGGCGCGTCTGCTGCCGTCTCCTAATCGGATTGTCTGTTTAAAGTGTGTTTGGTGCTGAGTTATCTGCGGGGTAATGGCTGCTTATGACGCGTGGCAGTGAAAGCCGCAAGGAAGCTGTCTCGCCGATGCCGCCTTATCTTTGCACGATAGCCAGCTGTTTGTGACGGTATGTTGTTAACACAAGGTGTAGGCGCCTTGACCCTGAATGTTTGCTTAGGGCATTAAGGTTTTCAGGTAAGTCCCCCTTCTCTCCCTCTTCTTATTCTCTCTTTCATAGGTCCTCATGGTTGTATGTCAGCGAAGCATCAGTTCAAATGGCTGATTTACTGCTGTTGTTGATGATGATGATGATGATGATGATGAGTGCACCGACACGTAGTACTGACGCTTTGCTGCCGCGCACCCACCACCGGTCACATGTGGGCTGAGGATACCGCTAGGGCCGCCCTGCCCCTACGCAGGCTAAACCCGCGCCGTCAGATTACAAGACAAACTTGTTACCTTTAGACTCATTTTTTCGAAGATTGAATAAGATTTCGAAAGAAATGTTTATTCCTTGAGTCGGTTTACTTTGCGGCTCAGGTTTTGTGCATCGTTTTGCTTGTATCAAATATCGGAAAGGTGTTCATCTTGTGCATTTCCTTAGACCATTGCAGTGGAACTTCGTTTCAGGTGCTGAAGGCTCTGTAAGCAGCCGTGATTGGACACCTGTGGGACCAAGCAGTCACACCCTGTCTGGATTAGCATCCCGAGATGTTTCTGCGGACAACTCCTCATCTGTCTTGTAACCTGCAGTCTCAAATTTTAACTCTAGGGTTCTTTCTAAAAATGTTACAAAGTTGGCGTTTTTGTAGCATTACTTGCTCACTTGTTTGCGCCAGTACCTGTGCGTCGCATGAGTTTCACCCCTCTGCGGTTAACGCGAGGCTGTTGTGTACTTCGTTTGCACCAAAAGTAACACGAATTTACTCCTAGTCCTAACACCTCCATCCCACTTTGACAAGATCTGTCAAAGTGGCCACTTAAAAACACTGTCACTTTATTGTTTGAGCATCTTCGCACCGCTCTTTCAGGACAGAAACGTACGATGCTTCATCGAAGAATGCGTGTTCCTTCGTTTCTTCAATTCGGTCACTTCAGTACGGTCTCCATGATAGAGTCCAGAGGCCGCTTCCCACTGCGTTGAGTGTCATCAACCAGCTCTTCCATTTTCACTCAATAACTGCTGACATTTGTTCACCCTTTGCCTGTTTAGTGCATTTCAGTCATCAATATCTATCCCGTGTTTCAGGCTCCCGTTGGTAAGGAGTCATCGTGGTACGTGTACATTCATGGGCTCGTTCTTGGTTTGCTCAGCGGTCCAGTTCTCCACGTGCTCCGAGTACGTCCCATTCGGGTTTCATTTATTTCGCTTTTCTGTAAACCTTTCTTCTGTCGCACCATCGGCTTTTTCCCTAGCAACTACGCATCTGATCTCCCACTCAGGTACAACAAATTTCACCTTGCAATGTTCGCCTTCAACGCGTCATCTTCTTATATCTGTCAATAGCCTGTCTGGTTGTGCGTATTCTAAATCTGTGCCCGCTCGGATACAACCGTAAAATGGGATAGTCCGGTATCTGACGATTAGAATTGTCATTTCGAAATACATTCTGTGAGTGGTTTGCGGCACGCGATCTCGATCAGAACTGAAACTCACTTTAATGTGAATGCCTATCAGTTCTGTCGCTGGGACCGTGTCCGAGGTATATACATACTGTGTTGCTCTCTCGAAACACAGAAATCCAGTGCATCTAACCCCATATTTTACGGATGATCTTTCTACGTTAAAGTAATTAGTTCCCTTCAACAATTTGAAAAGCACGAATAGAAGACGAAGGCTAGTAGATGCATGCATTTCTGTTGTCTCTTCTTTTTACAGTTCACTTCGATCCCAGTTTGATGCTATGGGGTTAGCCATACAAGCCGTTACAAACGCTTCCGGATGTTTCATCATCGACTAACCGCCTCCTCGTTTAGGGTGCGCTAATTTGAACATTAACTAGATCGATTTTCTATTACCCCCGTCATTTGTGTCAACTTTAAACCGGGAATTGCTTGATAGGAAAATCAGTAGACGTAACTTTGGTGCTGACATCACTATTTCGTGCGTTCTTATCGATCGTAAATATGCAACATTGATAGACAAACAAAAATAGTGATATATGAGGTGGTAGATGGCCAGGGTAGGCTTGGAGCCAGTCAGCTATCTCTGAATACGCAACATTGGGTGTTCGCGATCGATAATTATAACCTCCAGTATGTTAAGAATGTGTTGCCGCCGATCAAGCATTACAACTGTGAACGACTCATCACGGTGTACTTGGTGGACGGTAGTCAACAACCACACAGGCAGCTCGGTTCCTCTACTCAACCTATTTCGTAATCACAGATCCCCAACCGGGTGCGCAACCACTTGGGAATCTCATTAATTCTGACATCCAAACTTCGGTCTGTGCGCCCAATGTCGCTGTCTCCATAGCTACAGGTGAATTCGTTTTAGGAATGGGACATGCACTGCTTCGTCGTCAACATCTCTTCCTGAGGGGAGGATACCACATGATTGGAAGGAAGCGATTGTAGTGGCGATTCATAAGGATGGCGCTAAACTTTCACCTAAGACTAGCCTTCTCCTCAACTGTCTATAAAACAGTATTAGGAATCAAATTTGTGAACATCTTGATGCTAATAACTTGATCGGAGCAGAACAGCATGGCTTTGTCAAGAAAAATCATATCTTACCAAACTGCTTTGTTTCCTTGATGAAATAACTCGCTGTCCCGATGATGGCATACCAGTCGAAGTATGTTACTTTGACTTCAGTAAGGCTTTTGATTCGATGAACCACCGTTTCTTGTTATAAAAGATGTTCTGGTTTGGAATCCCACCTCAACTGCTTTCATGGCTGTCAGCATTCTTTTATGGTTGGACATTCCGTGTCAGGGTTGGTGACGTTATTTCGACGGCAGGCACTGCTCACAGTGGAGTTCCCCGGAAATCAGTACTCGCTCCTTTGCTATTTCTCATGTTTATAAATGACTTGGTCCCTCTACTTGAAGACCCCTCCTATATGTTTGCTGACAACTTGAAGCTTGTCAGCAGGGGAGACAGGGCTTCATTATCTAGAGGTTTTGCTACCGTTCCTTATTGGTCACATTTGTGGGACTTACCAGTGAACATCAGCAAATGTCAAATCCTAACCCCACGTGATGCAGAGTTTACTGTGCATACATCTAATGGGTCCCTAACACTGCAACATGTCACCGAGGCACGCGATCTAGGTCTCATCGTGACGTGTGACTTTAAGCTCTCGGCGCCGTGCAGGCATGCGGCTAATAAAGCGCAACGGAAGTTATTTCGTCTCAGGAGAGTTCTGAGTTGTACCGAGCTAGAGGTCTTTCTTCCCTAGTTCAAACCTATGGTCGGACCACATTTAGAATACTGTGTTCAGGCATGGGCACCTTACCTACAGTAAGATATTATTTGTATTGAGAATGTACAAAGACTGGCCACACGAGTGATAGCGCGGGTTATCGTATGAAGATCGGTTAGCTAACTTGGGTTTGTTCTCAATGCGAAGACGCAGATTGAGAGATGACTTAATAGAGATGTCCAAAATCATAAAAGGTCTCAGTGGTCGCAGACCAAACGATCTGTTTGAACCAGGTACGTCAGACAACTGCGGGGCCATTGCATTAAATTCTGACATCATAGATCTAGGATGAAGTTAAGAGCCAGATTCTTTGCAAACCGGGTTGTGCCTGTTTGGAATAAACTTCATTCCGCTCTATTAGCATGGGAAACTGTGGAGGAATTTAAACGTAGCCTAGACAAACATTGGCTGGAGCTTAAGTGACTGCCCCTAATCTCATTTTTTTAATGGTATTGTGTTATTCATCTTGCACTTGCTTCTGTTTTTTCACCATTATAGAATCAAGGATATTCTATCAAGTCGTAGTGCTGGAGGCTGATCGCTTACTGGCACACGTAAGGGGACGCTCGTTAAGCGGAAGCTTGTTTCGTCTCTGGATCCTGTCCTGTCCTGTCTCGTCGGGGGCTTGTCGAGGTGAGCAGCGCGAGCTCTCTCTGCCACATTGTACGCACTTCTTAGCGAAGTACTTATTCGTTTCTCGATTATCTCATCATAGTGCCGTTCGCCAGACACGACTTAGGTGTGGAGCTCCTCTAGATGAACGCCTTCTTGACTTGAAGTATGCCGACGGCATTGTGCTCATCTATGACAAATCCCGAACGTGCTAAATTGCACTGGATACATTAGCTCTGACTGTTATTCGTTTCGGTCTATGCTTTGTGCCCTCGAAATGCAAAGTCCTTCTCCAAGATTGGCATCGACCGTCTCCTGCGCCGACCCTTGCTGGTGATCAGCTAGAAGTCATTCAAAAATTCAAGTATCTGTGCAGCTGTATTAGCGCCTTTGGGATCGGAAACGAGATCCCGAACAGTATAGCAAAAACTCGAGACGCTTTTGCCATTCTCCGCCAATCATGGTGCCGACGTAGTATTACTCTCGCTCCCAAGTGCAGAGTTTATAATACAGTTGTCCGTTCAGTCATCCTATACGGTTGTGTAACCTAGCCCATCACGTCAGGCAATACCATGGCCTATCTCGACAAGAGCAAGAAGCAATGAAAGCCCCGAGATCCGACGAGTCAATCGTTATCCTTCCTGCAGACAAAGGACGTATGACAGTCATAATGGATAAGGCAGATTATATTGAGAAAGCAAAACGACTTCTGAACAATATAAGCACATAGAGGTGCGGTAATTACGATCCGACATCGCAGCTAACAAAGCAAGTAAACATAACCTTGCATGAACTACAACAGTTAAAAGAAATTACAGAAATTGAAAGGAATAAACTGAGAGCCCGTGACTCGAACATCGCCCAATTCTACGAGCTTCCAAAAGTACACAAAGAGGGTGCTCCTTTGCAGCCAATTGTTTCACTTCCAGTTACGCCCACCTCATCATCATCATCATCATTACACGTTAGCTGGAGGTGGAAAACACCGCAGCTATTGTGCCGCAATACAATACAATACGCCCACCTACAACCTGGCGAAGGAATTGTGGAGGTGCCTCAAACATCTACTCAATGGTTCGCAGCACTCCGTAAACAACGCCAAATAATTTCAAGAGAAACTCAAGAACCTGCTTATAGATCATGACGAAACGATGGTCTCCTTCGACGTCACCGCTTCATTCACATCTGTCAATTTGCAGCTGGCAAAAGAAGCCATCATAGAACGCCTGTACAACAGAGATGAGAAAATTGGGAGTATGACGACTGAAAGCATTTGCAAGCTTCTCCAACTATGCCTCACAACTTACTTCTCGTTCAACGGAGAGATCTATGAGCAAGTGAAGGGGGCACCGCTGGGATCACCATTATCAGGTCTGATCGGCGAGGTCGTCATGCAAAGTTGGAAGAAGATCTACTACTAGCTATTAACTCTAAGTTGTAGGTACGCTATGTCAACGATACATTTGTACTACTGAAACGCAGTGAAGTAGCAATCGCACACCACCTACTCAACGATGCAATGGATGGGATTCCGTTTACAATGGAGTTAGAGGCAGAAAACATGCTCCCATTCTTGGATGTGTTAGTGACCAGAACAAAGGATGGTGAACTTCAAACATCCGTTCACAGAAAAAGGACACATACGGACTAAATTTTGAACTTCTATAGCAACCACCCAAAGAGGATTGAAACACACTGCAGTACAGTGGAAGCCAAACGGGAAGAAGAGAAACACCTATTCGATTCGTTCGAGCGCAATGGATACCCACGCAGCTTCATCCGCAGATTTCTAAACCACAAATCTATGAACACCGAGCAGATACCAAATGCAAGAAAGAGGGTCGTTTTGCCGAACATATCTGAAATGACTGCTAGATTGCTCAAACAACACAGCATTGTGGTCGCTCATAAGCCAACTGCTACTTTGAGAAGAATACTGTCAGACCCAAAGGACATTCGGAATGCACAAGAACGAACAAACGTCGTGTATAAAATAAGTTGCAATAATTGTGGAATGTACTATGTGGGACAGACAAGAAGGAAACTATCCACAAGAATACAGAAACATCAGAGGGCTTGTAAAAAACATTGTGCATCGTCTCTTGTCTCGGCGCATGTGGATGTGGAGGGACATAGCTTCAATTGGAACAAAACTGTGATTTTAGCTCAAACAACAACACAGAAAGGAAGAGAATTCCTAGAAACATGGTAGTCCTCTAATAATTCGATCAACATGCGCATCGACATCGACCCCGTGTGCCATCAGCTTAGAAATAAAGATCTCCGGCGATTCGAAA